GCACCTGTTTAACTAGATCCTCAAGCTGCGACACTCTTTCCCTTAAACTGTACGACGACTGTTCTGAGGTGGCCTGGGTGTATGTGTGAATGTCCCCGTGCTCTTGATCAATGCAGGTCGAACCTCTGGCATAGCATTCGTTGCATACCGCAGGCCTCCCGGGTTCAAAAGTACATTTGATTTTTCTCCGCCGACACTCCAAACAACTTTTTGTTCCCTTCCGCATCTTCTTCCTCGGGGGGCCTTGACTATGGTCGAATCCGAGCCCGCCGCCATCAGTATTGTACGGTGAGGTGGACATACTGCCAGTTCGACAAATTGGATATCAGAGCAACAGAAGTCTGCTCGAAGTCCCGAAGAGAACAGGCAATTGAAGGTGAGTGGCGGAAATCGGAGACGGCGGACTCTTCTCTTATTTCCAGAGAGGCGCTGACTCAGGTGATTGGCTTGAAGCCTCCAAGTCTAGACTTGAGGGCTCGTAAATCGGGACAGGAGGTGAAGGGAAGATCTTGTGGAAGACTCAAGCAATGGGCCATGCTTCTAGAAACGCCATAAGTGCTTGTTGAGGGCTTCAGATCAGTAGTGTGTCATGGAAGATGCCTGTGAGCACATGAATTGTCAGCATCCGTGCTAGGTTGTCACTGATGATGGTATTCTCCAGCCACTTGAGATGCGTTTTGTCTGACAAATACTGCTTTCGTCATTTCTACATTAAAACTGCTACAATACTGGAGATAGCTGACTGTCATTTTGTCATTTGAAGCCTGGAAAGGTCTAGCTTCTCACGTGAGTGTTTCCTCCACTCTCTTTTTTTGCACACTTTGATCCCTTCTACTTCTTAAGACACACAGACAAAGACACACCACCTTTTGCCAGGTTCAATGTCCTCTATGCAGCTTACCAATCCAAAAACATTCAGAACTCCATAGACCCCTACGAGTGCCGAGTAGTCCTCCTCTTGGCAAGGAGGAAAGAGTGAGTCGAATTTCGTCCGCCCGATTTCGTCCGACCATCCAGATTCACCACAGGAGGCCCAACGGGGACACCGCAGCTTCTCGCCAATCGGCGAACAACCGACAGCCGCTCTACTTCAATCTCTATCTAGAAGAAACCTTGCAATAAAGAGGAAGAAACTCGAGACACAATAAAGTGGCTGAGTGGCAATACGGAGTAAGGCATTGTCTCGGTCTCGTATCTTGGGTACGGACGACGCATGCCAAATATGACCCCAATCGAAGGAACACCATGATATACAATGCTGCCTGGGTTTCTCGGCGGTCCCCTTCCAGCAGCTCGAATGGTCCACCACCCCCAAAAACTCACCCGATGTCACATTCAGCGGACCTCCTGTCGAATGTGGAATGCGAATTTTCTCCCAGTTCGACTGTTTGACTGCTGCCTGATTATCGGCAAGTCTGTCAAAGTGTGCTTTCGCATTGTGGGTCGCCGCCCCTGGTACGAGGTACAGCCTCGTCCTCTGCTGGGACCTTCTAGTTCACGCTGATTTACTATGACACATCCCCTTTTTATTGAGTTCGCAGTTTTGGGTTGGCTGTTATTTCCACGTGCTCTGTCTGTTGCTCATGCCGAAGGTCGAGACATGGATGGGTTCACTTGTTTCGTCGGCATTGTGCTTTTATCAATTCTCGCACTATCGTGATCCATGTGACTCCCCGACGTTGGCACTTATTTTCTTTTGCAATCAGAGGGGCGTGACTTGGATGTATATGGCATTGCAGGAGTAGACCTTATTCCGCTGTCTTGATGCAATCGGTTCTCACACCCTCCCGCCGTCATCCCTTTGAACCTAAACGCTTTCTGGATCTGGCTACAGAAAGAAACACAGGGAAAAGAAGAAAAAATATTGAAAAAGCGTACAGGCAGGAAATTTGTATTTTTCATCCCAATTCTACATACACGTACAAACAGTGTGTCAACCAACCTCAGACAAGAGACGGTACCATGCACCTCCCCACCCCTCAAGCATGTAGATCCAGCACATCCTCCTTGTCCGTGATGCAGCCATGGCTAGCATCGCTGACCAATTTCGCATACTTGGCCAAGACGCCTCTCCTGTACCGGGGCTCCGGCTTATTAGCATTCCACTCCTCCCGTCTCTTTTTCAACGTCGCCTCGTCCACTATCAGGTCGAGCGTCCTGCTCTCGGCATCAATCACGATGTTATCACCGTCTCTCACCAAGCCGATGGGACCGCCTTCCATGGCCTCGGGGACGATGTGGCCGATCAAAAACCCGTGGGACCCTCCGCTGAATCTCCCGTCCGTGATCAGAGCGACGTCTTTGCCCAAACCAGCGCCCATGATTGCGGAACTGGGCTTCAACATCTCAGGCATGCCCGGGCCACCTTTGGGTCCCTCGTACCGGATGACCACCACGGTTTTCTCGCCCTTTTTGATCTCGCCACGTTCGAGGGCTTGGATGAACAAGTCTTCGGCATCGTAGACCTTTGCTTTTCCCTCGAAGCGCAAGCCTTCCTTGCCTGTGATCTTGCCCACAGAGCCGCCCGGGGCGAGACTGCCTCGCAGGATCTGAATGTGTCCGGTCTTCTTGATCGGCTGAGAAAACGGTTTAATGATGACTTGATCAGACGGGAAGTCGGCGGCGGACTCGACGTTCTTGGCGAGCGTCTGGCCCGTGACTGTTGTGTGTTTGCCCTTTACCACGCCTTCTTTTATCAGGAATTTCAACAGAGTGGGAATGCCGCCCACGGTGTGTAGGTCATTGAAGACATATTTCCCGCTCGGCTTCAGGTCTGCGAGGAACGGGGTCCTGTCACTGACCGCCTGGAAGTCGTCGATGGTGAGCTTGATGCCCACCGCATCAGCCATGGCAATCAGATGCAGCACCGCGTTCGTGGAACCGCCAGTGATCATCACCACAACCATAGCATCTTCAAAGGCTTCGCGAGTCATGATTTCGCGCGGCTTTAGGTCCAGTTTGAGCAAGTTCTTAATAGCCTCTCCAGCCGCCAGACACTCGAGTTGTTTCTCCTGAGAGACCGCCGGATTGGATGAGCTACCCGGCAGTGTCATGCCCAGTGTTTCAATGGCCGATGCCATGGTGTTGGCAGTGTACATACCACCACAGGCGCCACAAGCGGGGATGGCATTGCGGATGATGTCGAAGCGCTGCTCCTCATTAATTTCCCCTGCGATGAACTGACCGTAGGCCTGAAATGCTGAGACGACGTCGATATCCGCGTTATTCTGCGTCCGCGCACAGCCTGGGGCTATGGAGCCGCCGTACACCATGATCGACGGGCGATTTACTCTTCCCATCGCCATGACCACACCAGGCATGTTCTTGTCGCAGCCAGGAATGGAGATGTTTGCATCGTACCACTGGCCCTGCATGACTGTTTCAATCGAATCGGCAATGATTTCTCTTGACTGCAAGCTGTAGCGCATGCCGGTCGTTCCCATTGAGATGGCATCCGACACGCCGATCGTGTTGAACTGCATAGGCTGGAGTCCTGCGTCTGCGACACCCTTTTTCACCACGTTGGACAGGTCCAGTAAATGCATATTGCAGGGGTTGCCGCTGTACCAGACAGACGAAATGCCCACTTCTGCCTTGTTCATATCTGCTTCGGTCATGCCGGTCGCGTAGAGCATGGCCTGCGAGGCACCCTGGGACTTGGGCTGCGTGACATGACGTGAGACTTTATTGAGACCTTCGGCGTCTGGGGAGGAGTTTGCATGGCGCAGGGACGAGGAAGAGAATGGGCGACTGCTGGAGCATTAGCTGTGCGAGACCAGGGAGGGCGAATTGCAATGAGCATACATGGCCTGTCTGCTGAGAGGAAATCTTGCTTGCCTGAGCCGCAGGCTTCTGAGGGCTGCTGAAGCTGTCATTGTGAGCTACCTGTATTTCGCAGAGCTGGAGGGGAGACTCTGGACCAGGCGCATCGAGTTCTTAGTGAGACCAGCGAAGATTGTAAGGAGGGAAGAGACAAAGACAGTCTTATTTCCCACCGACAGGGCACCCAGCTTCACCTTAAGTGCTAAAGAGTCACCTACTCCAAGTTAATACTCATGACCTTGTACCACAAATTGCAGTTTTCCCCAGAAAAGACGAAAAGTCCGTAAGCGGAGGCTGGAAGTTAGCAAAGTGCAGGGGCCCGGAGCCAATCGGAGTGCAGGGAATTCAAGCAGCCCGGGGAGTCTCGTTGATCTCCGGGGCGCAGTCAACTGCAGCCTTGCTCAGCCTTGCCTCTTGCGCTGGTCACCGACACCACGCGCACTCGTCTACGAGGGATCAACCACAAGGAAGCGTTGCCAGCCAGCATTGTGCTCAGAGCGGATCTACAGAGTCAAGAAACAATGCCACGATTGTCGCCTCCTCGAGTATACTACCACAATCTACCAATTTTCTGCTCTTTTTCCGATAAACTCGAGGCTGATTATTCAATGCACAGGTCAAAAAACCCCTTTCCCTGCATCTCCTCTCGCATTATTATTGTCTGACGTCGCATAGTTGCCTCGGTTCCAGCGAATTATCTTTGAGATTGGTTCTGCTTGTACAAACTGCATCGATCGTGGGACATGGACTTACCGAGGCCAGGCCTGAAAGGGATACCCCTCATATTAATGCACAGGCTGCCCATGCCAGCGTCCGACTCCAATTATATCGTCACACAAGCTGCTTGCTGGTGGATGGAAAACCCTACCTAGAGCTACTACGACTAGGACTTATCGTCATCAGTCCTGTCCCGGGGAACAAGGTGAAAATATCGGGTGACCTCTTATGACATACAAGTGCCCGTCATCCTCTGCGGGGCAATGAGCTCCTTACGAGCTAATTAGCTCTGTCCTTACTAACCGGCTATCCCCTCAAAATGGATTGAAGACCCAGAACGCCTTAAGGTTGCCGGTCGGTATACCTCGGGACATGCCGCGGGACTTCCTGTTTGTTTTTTCCCCAGCAACAGAGGAATCAAGGTGATAAGTAACTCTACGAGGTCCTCAGAGAAACAAAACATGACGGACGCATTCTCCCAAGCAAGCAGGCGGTTGAGTCAGATCAAGGATTCCATCATGGGTAAAGTGGCCACCACCATTCCCTTCGACCCGGAGTCGACCTCGTTCCCAACCCGCAAGAACCTCCCCAAGATCGTGGGCGCGCCCGACGAGGCCGCCTGGGTTTGGGGCAAGGACGACTACGTTGGGCGGCTGAATTTGCTGACGCCCACGCGCGTCAAGGCCGCCGCCTCGCAGGAGATCCGCACCGGGGAAATGGCACGACTAGATCTGCCCCTGGACGTGCCGCTGCAGCCAGCGTTTGGGCGGCAAAAGTTTGAGCACAAGATCGTGGCCATCGCCGAGGGCATCTCGTACGACGACATCTACCACATGAACACGCAGTCCGGCACGCAGTGGGACGGGTTCCGGCACTTTGCGCACATCGCCACCCAGACCTTCTACAACAACACGCACAAGGACGACATCATGGGCCCGACGGCCAACGACCACAAGTGCAGCATCCACCACTGGTCCGAGCACGGGTTTTCCGGGCGTGGCGTCCTGCTCGACTACCGCTCGTACGCCGACAGCGTGGGCATCAAGTACGACACGGCGACGTCGCACGCCATCAGCTACGACGACCTGGTCGCGTGCGGCAAGCACCAGGGGCTGGACATCCGCCCCCAGGCCCAGGGCGGCGACCTCAAGATCGGCGACATCCTGCTGATCCGCTCCGGCTGGGTCGAGGACTACTACAAGCGGGCGCCCGAGGACCGCGACCGGCTCGCCCTGCGCCACGGCCCCGACGCCCAGTGGTGCGGCGTCAAGCAGGAGGAGGCCGTCAAGGACTGGTTGCACGACTGCTACTTTGCCGCCGTGGGCGGCGACGCCCCGGCCTTTGAGCGCTGGCCCACCCCGGAGAGCTACTACCTGCACGAGTTCATCATCGCCCTGTGGGGGATGCCGCTCGGCGAGATGCTCGACCTCGAGAAGCTGAGCCAGCTGTGCAAGAAGAACAAGCGTTGGACCTTCTTCTTCAGCAGTGCCCCCTTTAACTGCCACGGCGGCGTGAGCAGCCACGTCAACGGCACTGCGATTTTCTGATCTGGGGGGCCACATAACTTTGGCCGAGCGGGCCATGAAAGAGTGGAGAGGGGGGGAAGCGGGAAGGGCTTGACGGGAGATTTTGGGGAGTATGTATGTAGGTCGACGACTGCGAGGCGAGGCGAGTCTAGCCTGGCCTGGTGCATGCATACATACATAGCCCTTGAGGCAGAAAAAACGTCGGTGTTATCGCCATATCTTCGGGGCTGCTTCGATGCGGGTGAAATGAACGGACGAATGAAATCTAATGATGGGCGGGCTGCCTGCTGGTCGAACTGAAGGGCACGAGGGAATGAGAACTTCCAACCATTGAGGGATGACAATGCTGCATGCATGCCATCCCGGACGAACTTTTTGGGACGGTTCGAATCGAGATCAAACATCCATAACCACCTTGCCCTTGTTCTGGTCAAGACATAGTAATATATTTCATTCCACAAAGCCCAACCCCCCACCTGCTCTTCCACGGACAACTCTCTCCTGTTCCACTACCGAGTCAAAGCCTAGTTTGAGTGTCTGGTCCGAGTGTGGTCTTATCTATATGTGTTTTGTGTTTGTGTGTGTACTAGCTCAACCTCTTTGGCTTATACCTCGTAGTTATAGCCAGCTATGTCTTGGTATCTTCCTGCTTCTCCGTGCCTTCAGCTTTCTTCTCTCCGTTCTGCTGCGCGGAGTCCTGCTTCTGTTCTCCATCACCTCCTGTGGCGAGGGGTTCGGATGGTGGAGTTGATGATGGTGGTGGCGGCGGCGGCGACGGCGCTGCTGTTGCTGCTGCTGCTGCTGCAGCACTGCTAACCACTGCCTTTGCCTGGACGACATTCATGATATGCTCGCCTAGATCACCCGAGCCGTCAATCTTGCTGATTCGCGCATTGAAGAATGATGCGTCCGCCAGTAACCTAGATTGACACTATCAGTATTATGATCTGCCTGGCCGCGATACAACTTCTAGAGAGAGAGAGAGAGAGAGCTTACCTTTCCTTGGCCTTGAGGGACTTGATGGTGACATCTCGGTACGCATTCGTCCACTGCTTTCGGTAACTTGCAAACACGGGCATCATGATCCCCGCCACCACAGGCTCTGGTAGGTGTTTGGCCAGTACTTTCTGCAGGGTGGCCGTTTCTTTCGCCAACGTCTCCATGTACGGCGACACATTGACGGTCGTGTTCTTGGCCGCTTCTTCCCAGTCAATATTCTTCATTGCCTTGACGTGCATCGAGGCTCTTCCGGACATGATGTCGACAAGCTTCTCGTGTATGCCATGTTGATGTTCCTGGAAGAGACGCTTGACCTTGTCGAATTCGGTCATAACTTGCCCAGCTGTCGATGAAGGGAGATGGCGGCGGAAGAATTCTCTCACATACGGTATGAGGGCGACGATGAAGCTCAGCCCTTGAGACGACAGTGCCAGGTGCTTAGTCGTGATATTCTTCAGCCCTGCACTCCTAGTAGCGCCGGCCCCTAAGATTAGCTGAGAGCTTCGGGAATTAAACAATTTGAGGCTTTCCAGCAATGACATGGCCACTTCATTGCTCATACTCGGGATGCCGGCCGCCAGATGCTGGAAAGTTTCCATGGATCGTAACATGGCAATGGCAGATTCTGGAAGTATATACTTTTGCTCGTCGATCACTGCGCTGCGCACCTTTGTCCCTGCAGCTGCTGTGCCGTTGGTTGCCGCTCCGTTGCTGGTCTCTGCGCCGTTGGTCGAAGTTTGCCAGATCATTGTGCTCTCGATCCAAGGAAGAGCATCGTTAGTACTCCCTTCCATCACTCGAGCAAGAATCTCATTCTCACGCTCGCCGAAATCGCGAGCGTCCCACTTATCCGCATCCATCACCTTGATCACTTCGTGCTTCTGGGAGTCTGCAAATCGCGCAACGAAATCCTTGATTTGGGTGTCGAGGACGCTCTTGAGTCCCGCGCCGCTGCGGCCAGATATCGCTTCACACTCATCCGCAAATAGCCTGTTGAGCGTAAAGTACCTCAAGAAATCAGACAATGGCAGCTCCGAATTCTGCTGGGACCGGACTCTAACTACTTTCGTGATCTGTGCCTGCGCAAGATCTACACCTTCCCCTAAAAGACTGGAGAGATCTAGAACTTGCTGCATTTCTGCCTGCACAGAACTGGTAGCTCGAGCTCGGCCTGTCGGAGGACTCATAACTCTGTCGATACTTGCAGGGTCTGGAGTTCTCGGAGGGGACTTGATCATATGGTCTGGTAAATGACTTGTGATGTCCAACAAAATCTTGACCTGCACGCTGAGTCGGCGCAGACCCTCACTAATGTTTGTATAGATGGTTGCAAGCATCTGATACCAATCTTGTGCGTCCAGAGATCTCAGGTTTCTAGCCAGAATTGACGATTTCTCCTGTTGGCTCATATTTCTTCCACCGACTGTTGAGGCGGAGACGGTAGAAACATTGTCATCGTCGTTGGAGCTCGGGAGCTGCTTTCGGATCATGCTCTTCATCTCTCGCAAGACGATTGCTCGAAAACTAGTCGCTGCAGGAGTCGTATACCTGGCCCTCGAGAGGCCTCGCATCTCAGCTTCAAGTTCGTCTCGTAGCTCAGATCCAATATTCATATATCCAGGGAACGCTGAAGGTGCTCTCCTTTGGCCCGGTTTGGGCCTTGTATAGGCAATCCCCCACCTTTGAAGGGTCATGCTGGTCTCTGTGTGTTCCACATGTCGTCTGATATCACTGAGCAGGCTGTTGTGGAATCGGGCCTCGTATCCCCTACCAGCGCGCTGGCGCAACTGGTTCAGATCATCCAAGGCGCCCTCGAGGGCTTTGATCCTTCGTAGATCACGCCTCTGATAACGGAGTTGTTGCTCCACTTGAGAGGACTTGCTCTCCCTGCCGGCCATCAAGGCTTCCACGTCATCTAATCGATCCAAAGCTTGATCAATCTCGCCCTTTTCAACCATGTCTTCGCATGTTTGAACAGACTTGACAATGTCTTCGAGCTGCATGATTGCCTGCGCCAATTGACGGACATTGTCGCGACGCTGCTTCAAATTGACCACTTTCAACCCGTCGATAGCCATTTCTTTGTCAAGTCTCGCCAACTCCCTCCGGAGTCTTTGAATCCGGTCTACTGGATCAGCAGCCTCATTGTGTAGCTCCCTGAGAGATCCGAGAGCGGAAAAGAACGACTTCGAGGCCGTTGATATGGAGTTGATCAGGTGGACCTCGACAGTATCCATGTACCATGACAACTTCTCTTGCAGAATTGCATTTGTAGCCAGGGACTTCCGTCCAGAAGGAGTACCACTAGGGTCGCGGACAATCTCCGAATTTTCAGAGACGATGTCAAACGTCCTGGGGTTCTCGAGGTGAAAATCTTCTTCCGAATAGACAGCCGGGATTGTGGACAACGGTGTGACGGCCTGACGCCGTTGGCCAGTCTGTCTCCTTTTCGGCTGAGGCGACTCTAATGGGATCGATATTGTCGAGCTCACTGAGCTCGCCCGTGAATGCCCGGGCCGTTGCAGGCGCTTGCTGAGGATGGCCTCCCACTCTTCATTTTTTGTATCTTTCTTATCCCGGTGGAACAAGGATGTTTCGCCTTCACCCTCATTCTTTGCCCTTTGGAACGCTTCGTACAGCGAACCAACCTGCGACAGGTAAGGATGGAACGCTTTGGCGTCGACGTGAGGGATGTTTGTGAGTGCAACGGGAGGAATATCGCGTGGCGTAGGAGCCTTGTACCCAGAGCTGGCAGGAACTGTGGTTGCTCTTAGGCCCGTGTGCATTATCGGGTGTTGCAGCAATGTCGAGATTGCATTCTGGCTGGTTTCTGTTATTGTAGCATTGTTTAGTGAAACCGTGTCGAGGGTGCTGGCAATTGAGCTTGACGTCGATCCACGACGCAAGCCACCTTTTGGACCTCCATGCTGTCTCTGCGGAATGCTAGGGAAAGGGTACTCGGTTGCGGGTGAGGTGGCTATCGGTGAGGCATAGGTTCCCTGGGATCCAGGTTGGATTGGAGACGCCATCACATCTTCTTCCCTGGCATGCGCAAGGTTCCGAGGGCATCAAATGTGACATGCCGTGTCATAGGGAAATCAAATATTCAACAAGGCTATCTAGCTGAAAACATTGTGCATGGGTGGCCAGCGTGCGGCATCCGCGAACCAATTGCTGATGAGGCCTGATGGCGAGTTTAGACGACACGAAGGCCGCAGTTGGGTGAGATTGGAGAAACGGCCAAGATGGGTAAAACGTGCTCGCGCCTTAACCTCCGGATCGGGGCCAAATCAACTCTCCTATCTATCTGTGCGGCATCACCTGCAAGCGAACAATTGTGCTCAAGTTCGCCATGGCCAGCGTGGTGGATGGTACAGTATACAGTACCTCGTACAACATTAGGCATGAATGTACAGCAGACTCCTCACGGAGAGCATTTCCCCAGTCTGAAATCGACGGAGAGTACCTCGTGTTTTGACCGTTGAATTAACGCCTCAGATTGAGGAACTTATGTTACCAAAGAGGACCGCCTTACACACAACTACGATGCCGCCAACCTTATCGCTCGCCACGTCTGTTCGTGCGGACGGTATGATTGGGACTTGTCAAACACAATAAAGAACACCGTCACCTGCGGTGCAATAGCAGATTGACTGAATGTTCGAGGCTTGTATTTTCGTGGCATTGATGCATTTACGGTTTCAATTCTCCCATCATCCAGACTGGCATGGCTAATCCAATACAGCTCTCCAGACACCTTCGTGTACAACAGACCGCAAAATACAAAAGTGTGGAACGACGCATGTTATTACTATTTTCCCATCTCTTTACCCCTTTTTGGCCTTCTCACTCATCGCTTGTTAACTTCTCTTGTGGAGACCTTTTCCTTTTGCCTTTTTCCTGACCTCTAGCTTCCCGACGCATGTTCCACTACATAGAGTCGCGGTGAGGTTAAGGGAAGGCGAGTGAGGCTGTGAGGAGTGAGAGGGTGCTCCTCATGGTGGTGCCTGGCATCAATATTT